AAATATGTAATTTAAAAATACACAAAAACTCCAAACCAAACCAATTCTCAGTCAATAGCTATTACTCTTTTCATTCCATAACAGGCTATTCGATTTTATTAATGCTATAACACATTAAAATATCGTAGTTGGTTAAATCATAAAATAATTCTGTTATTTAAAACAAAATGTTATATTTTTAGGCTTAATTATTTTTGTAGATAATTTATTGAGTTTCCCCTCATCGTGTCATCCAAACATGATATTTCTTGTTTAAGTTTATCAATATGTTAAATAGTCTTAGTGTAAAAATTGAGAAAATAATGGAAAAAATAAACAACCCTTAAAAACAGGGTTTTTTAAATAAAGAGACAACGGATAGAGACGAATGACAACAACAATCAAAGGATATGACTTTGATAAAGGGATTAATTATGAAGAGTTAGTAAATAGTTACCTTACAACTGGAATCCAATCAAGCAATGTTGGTAGAGCAATTAATATTATAAATAAGATGCTTACTTGGCAACCAAGTGAAGAAGAAAAAAAAGAATATGTTGAGGGAGATGAAAGATTAAAACGTTGTACAATTTATCTTGGATTTACTTCTGAAATGATGACTTCAGGACTAAGAGATACATTTAGATATCTTGTCGAACATAAATGTGTTGATTATATTGTTACAACAGCGGGAGCTATAGAAACTGATATTATGAAATGTTTTGGAAATATGAATATTGGAGATTTTTATATGAGACCTGAAGAGGTTCAAGGAGAAAGACATGGAAATATGATTATACCAAAAGAATTAATTGAGAAAACAAAACAATGGTTAAAAGAATTTATTCTTGACATTCAAGAATGCCAAGATACTTCTATGCCATTTACTCCTTCTCAATTAATTACTATGATGGGTGAACGATTAAATGACACAACTTCTGTAATAACATGGGCAGCAAAAAACAATATTACTATATTTTGTCCTGCATTAACCGATGGTTTATTTGGTACCTGTATCACTGAACTTAATGAAATTAATCCTGTAAGGTTAATGGTTGATCTTGTTCAAGACCTTCGTCTAATTAATTCATCAACTATTCATTCTGTAGAAACTGGTGTTATTATTCTTGGAGGTGGTGTAATGAAACACCATATTATGAATGCCAATTTAATGAGAAATGGAGCAGACTTTGCTGTATATATTAACACGGCTGGTGACTTTGATGGTTCAGATGCTAGTGCACGTCCTGATGAAGCAGTTTCATGGGGTAAAATTAAAATCGATTCAGAAAATGTTAAAGTCTTGGCTGAGGCTTCACTAGTTTTTCCACTAATAGTCTCAAAAACATTTGCAGTAACAAAGCGATTTGATGGTAAAATTTAGAATTGCCAAAAGGAATCTAATTGTTCTTTTTAATGTATTTTTGTCTATATTTTAGCTATATATAACAATTTTTAGAGATAAAAGTAATAGTGATGAAAATGAATCTAATGAGTTTAAAAAACCCTAGGGTTAGGATTTTAGAACCCTTTTTGAGGAACAAACTTTTTATAAAGAATATCCTTGTTGATAATGCAATTTGAACAAGTAATTTCTGCTCTTCAGTCACCAAACAACGAAGTAAGAAAACAAGCTGAACAATTATATAATGAAGCACTCGAAAAAAATTCAGACTCATTTATACAATCTCATTTTGAAATGCTTAAATCACAAAACGAAAATATTAGACACTATGTATTAACAATTTTGCATGTTTCATTAAGTAAAAGTATTGAACCAGTATTATTTGATCGATTAAATCAACAAATTCAAGCCACAATGTTTTCAACATTAATTGAAATTTTTAAGAACGAAACTAGTTTGAAAGTAGTTTCAATGCTTGCAGAAGTACTTTCAATTATTTGTATATCTCTTTCAAAGAAAAAGGTTAATGTAAATCCTTATTTTAATACCACTATTGAATTAACTAAATCACCAAATGAAGCACTTAGATTTTTAGGATATACTACAGTGTCTCAACTTATTCTTTTATTAGAGCCTCAAACACAAGTTGAAGCAACAGGAACATTAGTACAACTTCTTAGTTCTGGAATGAATGACAATTCTCTTGTTGTGGCACTTGCTGCTCTTGATAGTTTTATTTCATGTGTATTAATGTATGATGATCCTGATTCTCCTCTTGGCGAGTCACAAGGTAAGTTTATTGTTCTTATGCCTATTGCTTTGCAATTATTTGGTAAAATCATGAACAGTGGTAATCTTAAATTAATTACTAAATCACTTTCAACTGTTGCACAATTTGCTTATTTACCAAAAGAATTTATGAAACCATATGTTATGGTGTTTGTGAGTGGGTTATTAACAATTTCTTCAAATGAAAGTATTGATTTTGAAGTACGTATGACTGCTATGAGCACAGTACTTGATATTGTTGAACCTTTCAAATTACTGTTTAAGAGAGAACCAGTTGCATTAAATAATGTACTTTCTCATTTATTTACATGGTTATGTATTCTCAATGATGACGTTGATTCATGGAATAAAGGAGAAGAATTAGATGAAGATGCTGCAGATCTTGCAAGAGATCTTGTTGATCAGTCTGCAGACATGTTTGGAGGAGAATGTATGTTTATGTTCATTAATTCTCAAAAATTAGATAATTGGAAGAAAGAATGTGCTTATTTAAGATGGATTTATATTACTTTAAATGCTGGAAAACATTTTTATAAGAAACATTTAGATAAGTTATTTGAAATTATTAATAAATATTTACTTCATCAACATCCAAGAGTTAGAAATATGGCATTTTTATTGTTAAATGAGATGATCTGTCTTTTCAAAAAGAAATGTAAGTCATATGTTTCACAGATTTTCCAAGTTATTAAACAATCATTTAGTGATGCTTTTATTCCAAATCAAATTAGTGGGTGTGATATTATTTCTTCATTTATTGATGTTGAATTAGTTAGTCAATCTGAATTCCAAGAAGTTCTTATGTCCATGTTACAATCATTAACTAATTTTATTACAACTGCTCAAAGTACAAAGTTAATTATTGCTGCATTTGCTTCACTAAACTTTATTATTCATTTTATGAAAAATATGCTTGATCAATATTTTGCCATTTTAATGGATTTCTTTAAATCTAAAGCACAACAATTAAATCAAGTCATTTTAACGGCCACTGATCAAAAACAAAGAAAGGAAATATTAAAAATTAAATCTCGTCTTATTGAAGGACTTTCTATGTTAGTTTATTCATGTTCTAAGAGTATTACAAAACAAGTTGCACATGAAATTTTCCTTGAAGTATATAATGTGTTCTCTTTAAAGGAAGAAGAAAGAGAGGTTTTAATGCCATTTGCTGAAAAAGCCTTTACTCGACTTGCTGGAGTATTGAAAGATGATATTCAACCATATTTAAATACTATTGTTCCAATTATTATTTCTAGAGCTTCAATGAATCCAGAGATAACAGTTGGAGATAAAGAAGAACAAGTTGATGATGAGGATTGGGCTAATACAGTATTCCAAGGAATGAATATTGGAATTAAAACTAGTCAAATTGAGGAGAAGGCTGATGCTATTTCTACTCTTGATTTATTTGTTGATGATCTCCAAGAATTAATGGTTCCATATGTTGAGTCTATGAGTCCATTAATTAAGTCTATGAAATTTATTATGGATGACACTGTTCGTTTTAAAGCCACTACCTTGGTTGGAACATTGTTTAAGTTAAGACTAAAAGTGTTAGTTGCCCAAAACAGACAACAAGCTATTGCAGCAATGAAATCATCACAATTCTATGTTAATGCCTTTACTGCATTTGTAAAATATATTCCATCAGAAACAGAGCCAAGTGTTGCTTTACATAAAATAGAGACATTTAATACAATGATTAAATCTCTTGGACCAAATGCATTAAGTTTAGAAGAATTAAATATGATATTTACTATGTTTGCTGATGTATTTGAAAGTTATGAAAATTCAACAAAGATGAAAACACAACAACAAGAATCTGTCCAAGGATTAACTGAAGAAGAATTGGAAATTCTTGATCATTCAAATGAAACAGACTCTGATACTATTATGGCTTGTCAACATTTATTCCAAACAGTTATTAAATTAAATGAACAATACGTTAATCCATATAATACTATTCTTCATCAATGGATTATGAAATATTATAATTCTGGAAATGCAGATTATATTTCTACTTCTATTGTTTATATAGGTGATTTAGTAACTGTAGGAAAAAGAACAGACCTTGTTAATGATGTTATATCTCAATTTATCAATTATATCTCATCTGACAATTCAGATATTCAATTCAATGTATTGTTGTCCTTAACTGAAATACTTAAATATTATCCAGATAATATTATTCAAAACTTCTTCTCTCTTTTAGCTCAAAAATTAAAGTGGTGTGAGCAATTAAGAGGGCAAGAAAAGAATGATATTTATGAAGCATCCTTACTTTGTAAAGGGTCATTATTAATTTGTCATCCAGAGTTATGTAAATCAGTTGGAATTAATATTATTGATATGATGAATGATTGGTTTGGATCAATTATGAATATAAAGAATGTTAAAGACATGGCATTATGTCTTGTTATTTTTGCTTCAAAGAAAGGATCTTTGATTGTTGATACTCCAGAAAAACTTGCTCATTACATTAACTTCATTGGAAATACATTAATAGAAGACTCTATTGATGAAGAATCTTCTAACATGTTAAAAGAAGTTCTTATGCAATTTAAACAAAAGTTCCCTGACCAAGTTTTTACACAAATATGGCAAGGTATGAGCATTGAAGCAAGAGAAGAAATTTATTGTTTGTTGGATAATTCAAACCAAAATGCATAATGAAATGAATGAATTATATCCAAAAATAATTTAATGAAAATTATGAGTTTTTAATTTTTTTCTATTAGAAAATGAGTTATTTATTTTTTGTAGAAAAAGAGATGTTTGTAAAAAATATTTAAGTAATTCTAAAAAAACTCATTTTAAGATGAAACTGAATTTGATAAAAAAAGAGATTGATGAAACAACTTTCAAAGACATCAGAAAATCCTCTTCAAACATTACACAGATCAATAACATCAGAAGAACTTAAAAAGAGAAGAAGAGCAGAACGATTTGATTGTCCATCATGTATAGAAATGCAAGGATATATCAGTGTATTAGAAGAAATTATTCAAAAGAAAAACACTATAATAGCAAAATTAATGAATGAAAAAGAAGTTTATAAAATTTTTGATGAATTACGTCAAGCGAATGATCCAAGTGTTTATGCAGAAGACACTATTGAGACATTAATAAGTTTTATTGAAAATAGAAATATCGAAACAAAAAATAAAGTAATGAAAAAATGGGAAGTAATGCTTCAATCAAGAATTTCGAATGAAAATAAAAAAGTTCTAAAAAGTTTTGTAAGAAATAAAGTTAAAACTAAATATCAATATATTGATATTGGTGATGAAACTACTACAGAGTCTGATGTTCAAGATGATTCTACAATATTAGAGCCATTAGATGGAATGTGTTATAATCGTTGTGATCAACCAAAACCAAAAATAAATGAAAAATTATTTGGATGTTTAGTAGATGATTTTACATCATCACAAATACTTTATTATCAACAATTCCAAATACTTACACAACTCTTTATCTCTCCATTAAGAAATTTACAAATGGCAAAAGAATCAATTAAATTATTAGATAACTTAATTCCTCCAATGATGATGGTTGAAAGAAAAGTTTCTCGTTGTTTACAACTAAAAGATGAAACAATGTGGCAAACAATAAAAGAATGTATTAATGAAATGAAAGTGTATATCCCTTACATTTCGGCATTAAAAACAACAACCATAAAAGCAGATATTGTTGAATGTTGTATGTCAAAAGAGTTTAAAAAAGAACAACAACCTTTAATAGCTAGTTTCTTTAATAAAAATGGATCACAACAGTTATTACCTGTGACTGTTTATTTGGAAGCTCCTGTTCAAAGATTTTTTAAATATCCAAAAATTTTTGGTAATTTATTAGCTTCTGTTGATCCAAAACATCATGACTATGCCATTATAACTTCTTGTTATTTAAATATAAATAAAATGGTTAAAAAAATGGGAGATTACCAGACAAACCAAGAAGAACAAAAGAAAGTTATTGAACTTAGTCATTTATTTAAACAAACGCAAACTCAAATTCTAAAAGATGGAAGAAAATTATTATATTATGGACCTCTTAAAATTATAGAAGAAAAAAATGAATGGAACATGTGTTTTTTGTTTAATGATATGTTTGTTGTTTCTAAAGCAATTGTTATTGGTGCTCTTGGATTAGAAAAGGAATCATTAATGAGATTTGAAAATGCTCCAAGTGGGACTGATTTATCTTCATTAATGCCTTATAATTTTAATGAAATATTGTGTGTTTCCTTATCACATTTCTTATTGAAAAAAGTAGTTGATTGCAATACAGCTACAAACGCTTTTATGATTCAAGTTGATGACATTCAATTACACTGTTGTTGTGTATCAGTGAAAGAGCGTCATAACTGGATTGGTTCATTGTTATTAACACAAAATGGAAGTTATTAATAATCATTGTTAACATAATTTAACTAATTTAGATTATAACTATTCAATAAAAATTCATTTATTTAACATTTTACAATTCAATAGGATCATCTTTACTTTCTCCTTTTCCTTTAAACAATGATTGTATTTGAGGCATATGGTTCAATTGTAGTTTTTTTGTTGGAGCTAATCCTTTTGTCATTTTGTCAATATTACCTAATTCAGAATTTCCTATAACTTGAGTCAATGTATTTGGTGCAAATGTCCTTTTTAGTTGAGTTATTTTAGGTTTTGTTGCTTGTTCTTTGGAAAGGTGAGGGATTGTTGTTGTTGTTTGAAAAGGAAAAACAAATAATGACTTTGATATTTTTGGTAAAGATAAAGTAACTTGTTTCTTTAAATATTTTTGTTCTTCCAAATCAGTTTGTTTTTCTAAACTGTCATCAGTTGTTGTGTCATGAATTTGAGTTATCATACCATCTGAATTAATTGATATCATTGAAACGTCATCTGAAGATTGTCTAAGTAAGGACAATATTTTATTATCTATTACAACCTCTTTAGTAGGAAGTGGTTTATAACAAATAGGACAATTAAAACACTGTTTAGTTGTAGAATTTCTAATATAATTCTCTAAATCAAAACAAGCCAAATGAGAACAATTTAATCCTCTTGCAGGAATTACTATTCTTTGATAACTTATAGGACACTTTAATGAAATTGTTTGTTGTTCTTCTTCAACATCCATTTCTTCATCCATTTCTTCTAAATCAACTGATTGTAATTCAGTACTTCTACCACATTTTGAAACAATTGATTGAACACACTCATTTATTCCAAGATTTTCAATATCAACCAATGAAATAATTCCATTTTCAATAATACTCTTAGAAACAACTGAAATTATATTTTTTCCTTCCTTTAATAAATCAGTAACGTCGATACAATTAAATATTTTGAAGTTATTTACTTTTTCAATTAATTTAGGTCGAGCAAAATACTTTGATAATTCAAAACTGCTTTTATTTATTGTTATCTTTGCAAGTGAGTAAGGGGGTAAATTTTCTTTTGTTGTTAAATCAAATAATCTTAATTGGACTCTCCGTTTCCCACCTGGTTCTTCTAATAACTTAAACTTAAAAGATGAGGGATCTCGTTTATGAAAAATTCCTCCTCCATTTTTGAATTCAAACGACAAGCTTGATACAGACACATCTGCTGCTCTATTAAACCTATTATATGCGATGACACGTTTTTGTATAATAAGTGGTGAAATAGTTTCGAAATATTCTTTTGGTAGTGCCAATTCCATACCTATTTAAATTGTTTTTCTTAAAATATTCAATAAAAAAAGGGTTAGGTTTTTCAAACAACATAAAAATATTTAGTAAAAAGTTTAATCATAATTTCTATATGTTGTATCTTCTTCTTTTAAATTTGTATGTTTCGAACGACCTTTCTTTCCCCAATCTTTTGTTTGGAGAATCTTTGGTAGTAAGCTTTTATCCATCCAATCATCTCCAGTAGCAGCGTCAAAGTCCCAATTTCCTTTAGAAACATCCCATTTACCACCATCTCTAAAGAATGACCCAATATGATAATATTTTTGCATAAATTTCCATTTCTTTCTTTCTTTTTTCTTTTCTTCTTCATGGCTTTGTGATTCTGTTGAACAAATCTCTTTTAATTTTTCCAAATCATGTTGATAATTTAATTGTTCAATATATTCTTTTTGAAGTCTTTCTAATTCACGTTGTTGCCAAGCTTCAAACTCATCCTTCCCTCCATACTCATCTCCACTACTAAATTCTTCAGTACTTTCTTCATTTTCTTTTTGTTCTAATTCTTTTTGAATTGTCATTTGAATTAGTTTTTTATTAATTTCATTTATATTAATGTCTTGAGTTTGTTGTTTATATGATGGAAAAACATTTTCTTTTATTTCTTTTTCCTCAATTTGTTCTTTTTTAATTATTTCCTTTCTCATTGGGACAAATATAGGTTCTTCATTTTCTTCTTCTTCTTCTTCTGTGTATTCTTCTTGAACATGAAATATGTCATCCTCATCATTTTTTATTTTTTCAATCCGGTGAGTTATAACCAATCCTTTTTTCATTTTCTTTCTTTTTAGTTTCTTCTCCACAAAAAATTAATTTAAAAATTTCATTCATTACTTAATAATATTGTCATTATTTTCATTCTTTTATTCCTTCTTCTGTTTTGACTTCTTGAGTAATATCTTCTTCTATTTTATTTTGAGTTAGTACGTTTGGAACTT